AAAGGGTGAAGTATATAAAGGATTTTGTAGGGTCATTGTTGTGAGTATCTGGTGTTTATCGTTTAGAAATTCTTCATGTGTGATGTCGAGCAGTTTGTTTTGTGGAAAATTGTCGTCGTCTGCAGACAACATCTGTGTTTGTCGTTTAGAAGCGTCCTACCGAACAAGGAAAAAGTTGAATTTTTGAGAGGTTATTTTTATTGCTTACATTGTACGTCGCATTCGTCATGCGAGAACATTTAGGAAATGTTTTCAAATTCGACTGGCCTTTGTGTCGATTTGCAAGCGTTACTTAATTTACTTATAGTCGAAGAATACGTGGACCATTGACCTTTAAATGTCCGTACGTTGGAGAACAGTCTAAAATGTTCTTTCGTCATTGTGGCATGAATAATTGACGATAAACATCGACATTAACGAAGAGAAAATGAAATATCGAAGTTGAATTTTACGTCAGTATATATAATTACATAATATTTATTTTAAAACATGGGAGAAATGAGAAACCTCGTTAATTATTCAACAAACTTTTCTTGCAAATGTTAATACACGCTCGATGTTTTCATTTAGATTAGTCATTTTATTAAAAAAATGTCTGTAACTTTTAACGAACAATTTTTCCTTCTAAATCTCTTAAATACGATAGCATAACACGCAGGAATCTCAAATTTTAGCGTAGAGGTGATAAGTAAACTCTTTTATTGGTCATTTTGCATGCATTCCTTCAATGCGGAGAAACGCGGCCACTTGTTTCACTGGTACCTTTTTGTCTTTCGCAGCAATCACGTGGCTTGGTAAAATTCTTCGTAATATAACACAGTGCAAAAAAAATGTTATAAAACAACTTACAGCTATATATATATTTATTTATTTTCCTTGAAATAATTAAAAATAATATGGAAGGATATGACTATCTAATGTAAAACAGAATCGTAATTAAGTTATTTCTTTTTCTCCTTTCGTACGTAACAAGCAAATGGAAAGATATTATAAATTAAATATTAACTAGTATACATCGAAAATAATGTTATTCAATACGGATCGTAATTTTTTCCAAACTAACGTTAGTGATAGAATGCAGTATTTTTGTAAAATATACATTTTTTTTATTTTTACGTTAGACTTCTGCATTGGTTTAATAGATTATGGAAAATTTGTTCATTTATTAGCACTTTGTTTCACGCGATAGAGCAGCAAAATATTAAATCCTGCGCTAACCAGAAAGGAAAATTGAAGCATTTGCGGATTTTTGATGTCTCTTATTTTTTTTTTTTTTTTTTTTCACTAGATTGCAGATAATGATCACGTGTAGTATTACGTGAGTACAAACGAAGAAACCCTCGCTGAAGTTGTTAATTCATCGATCTTGTGCCGGGACTTACAAATGTTATTTTCTTCGATGCTATCTGAATTTTTAATACAAAATGGAGGATACCAGCGCGAAACGTAATTGTTGTAATTCAGCTGTATTACCGCTCGTACCGATGTTTCAAAACAACGACGTAGTGTTTTGTAAGATTAAGTAAGATCTGTCGCAAATTACATAATCCCCAAGAAATTATCAAATTCTTCAGTAATAAGTCAATCTACCTTAAATGTATTCCATTTCAGACTACAGAATGACTTTTAAGTCTGTAATATGCTTCCTAGCGTGTACATACATGCAACAGGTATTTTCGTTACTGACGTAAATGCAACATTGTATAACATTACTTTTCGTCTGAAGGCAGAATAGCGGAAAGTTTTTTCATTAGACATGTGAAAATTTATTCTGTACATGTTTACTCTGTGTATATGTTTTAAATTTATATTTAATTCTAATAAATTTTATTTAGTTTTAACGTTAAAGGGACAGCTACAACTTAGTTTTTTAACCAAGTAAAATTTTCAAGCAAAAGAAGATACTTGAAATTTATCAAGCAAGAATATATCAGAAAATGAATCTTGTAATATTAAAAAAAAAAAAAAGAAGATAGTAAAAGAATCGTAATACTATTTCATACGTTAAATCTTTCTCGCGCCGTTCAATTAAAACAGCTTAACGTGTGTTCTCTCTTTGGAGAATGCACCGATCCAGTAATCGTAAAAGGAATAAGGGGTTAACGGGTTAAAACAAATTACCGCATTTAAGCATCACTGACGTAGTGTGAGAATCAGCATTAGAATCCACGATGAAGATTAATCGAGGTCGTCTCTAGGTTTTCCAACCTATCATTGCTACAATTTTAAATTCGTTCGAAATCTTCGACGAATTCGTTGCAAAAGAAGAAAAAAAAGTAGTCGACACTTCGAAAGATCATTATGCGAGTAACAAGTAGCAATATTCGCGGTACTTTAACATCGAACATCTCACTCGTTCCTCTTTGCAATTTATCGGTTCGTACTTCCGTGCAATTTGAATGTTTAAAATCTTCGTGATTGAACCGCTATATCTCTCTCTCTCTCTCTCGAGTATTTTGCGTTGGACAGTTTTAGAAGGTCGAAGAACTGTTATACCTTCGGTTAACAGTTTCCCATGGCACATTCAGAGCAGTTCGGATTCGTTCGATTTGTTTCGTTCTTCTAGAGCATAACTAACAAAATACCTCTCGCGATCGGTTTCCATGAATCGCACGCAAGTCAGAACTGGGGAGGCTTTGACTCCACAGTATCCAGTAAGTCCAGTTTGAGTAAGCATCCTGACTTCAAGTGGATTGACCTCCGCCGTCAGGATTCGTGATAGGAATAAATTCCCCGGTTGAAGTCTATACTATGTATTCCGGCTTCAACCACACACACACACACACCGGATCATTCCTTTCAATTTTTTTCATACGATTCCGTCGCGCGGTTCAACTGGAATAACGTGTGAGCGATTTAACTTAACCCTCTTCGGCTACGAATTTTTCGTGGCTTGTTTGGATAAACGTATACACGATTCTTCGATGGTCACTCACAGCGGAGTCGCGCGTGTTCATCCTGCGAGTAATAGCGCGTATAGTTGGAGGAAGCGATATACAGTAGATCCACGATTGTAAATGGAATACAGTAGAAGAAGAAGTGTGGACTTTAGTGTGATAAATGGGAGATCTTATGCGGACAGGTAGTCCTTTGCACTCGAGTTGCGACTGAAAAGCGACATTATTGTTTACCACTTGGTACATAATTAATCGAGGCTCTCTTAGAGCTGAGATTTTATAGTACACGAGGTCTATTGGCCTCCCGTAAATGTCTAAACAGTGCACATATAAAATAAAAATACATTAAATATTGAAATAAAATAGATGTATTAGTTAATAAATGTATAGTTTGTTTGGGTGTTAAGTTTAAAAAATTTGACCAACTTTTTAGCAAACGAGCTCTAAATATCCATACTTTAGCACAAGCAAATAGTTAGGTTATCCTATAAATTCGTGCCGAAAGCGAAAACGCAGATAAATTTTTGAAATATACTGCAATGGAAAATTCAATTTCGAGTTGGCAATTTTCGAGCTTCTCATCTTCCTCGATTATGTGTATCTTGAAGGTTGATTGATTTTATCACCTCGCTAATATCGTTTCCACTGACTATACGCAGAAACTAGAATAAACGATTTTTATTCTTAATCGTTTTGAAAGAGGGTAAGTTTGTTTGACAATTTTTCAAGTTAAACATTGGAACAATTGACGATGTTAAAGAAGTGATATTTTTTTGAAAATAACAGTGTAAGAAATGCGAGAAGAAGAAGGAATAAGAATGAAAATTGATCGGTGTTTCATGGAAATGAATGTGAGGCTGGTGACTTTCTCACCAATTTCTGAAGTCCCAGTAAGAAGTGCATGACACTGAACTGGTATTCTTAAAGAATACCGCACATTAGTATTCTGGAAGAGTGTCCGTATGTAAATTGTAGTCGATGTTATAAATAGTCTTTAGATAAACAAACTGACCCGAAAAAATAACAAACACGAGATAAAACTCTTAAGGAATTATGATGAATCATTCTGAATTGTAATGACATCATTCCTAGTAATTTTTAGTGACACATTTAGATAGTTACACCGCGTCGAAAATAATTGAAAACTTTCAACGATGAACAGTTATCCAGAAAACTAAGTTTAACAGTATCCTCAGAAATATAGAAATTAATTTAACAATATTCTCAAAAATATAGAAATAAATTTAACAATATTCTCAAAAATATAGAAATTAATTTGGCAAAATTGGAAAAAACCAATCGAAAGGTTGACATATTTATAGAAAGAAATTTTTTCATAAAAGAAAATTTTAAATTACAGAAAATGTTTGTAACGAGTAGAAGAATTTCTTTCATTTTTTATATTTTATTCGTTAAAATATTAATAAAACTAACTAAAACTAACTTTTATTTATGAAACAATATCGAGTAGTCTAGAAGATTGCGGAATAATTTTATCGCAGTTTCGTGTTGTTTCGCTTTACTGTATCCGCATGAACAAATCTAACGAGTCTAAGAGACAAACGATTTTCGGTGAGAATGAGTTACAGTGATCGGCTGAGCTGGCAGAACCGATCCGCTTGAACGGGAAAAATTATGCACAGCAATGTTCTTTTCCTATTTATTGGATCGGAACGTTTTACCGCTTGAAGTTGTTCAAGCGAAAGGAAAACAATCTTTCATTTCACGTATATGCTTGATGTGCCCCTTTTTTTCTTCTTAAAATTAAACTTATCCGCGATAG